CGCAAACCCCCCACATTGCTTTTGATCACACCTTTTCTGGGACTTATTCAAAACTCATTTCAGCCCAATCCCATTCCCACTCACATACCCCGTGTTTGCTTGTTACAACATGTAGGCCCATCATTTGTTATTTTTTTATTTTCTTTTTCCTGGTCACAAAAATTCATCTTGGGCCTAACATAAAACAAAACCAGCTTTACTTCTTATCCCCTCTAACTATTTTTGTTTTAAACCCTCTTGACTTGATTTTATACTTATATTTTATTTTTATTTTCTTTTCCTTTTTATTATTATTGTTATTATTATTATTATTATTATTATTATTATTATTATTATTATTATTATTATTATTATTATTATTATTATTATTATTATTATTATTATTACTATTATTATTTTTATTAATCAAAAATACCAAAAATATTTTATATGTTTTGTTTATATATTTAACATACTTTTATTCTATTTCGTTTAAAAACAAAAGACCAAAAATATTTTCTTAACGAATTTAATTTCTTTTTTCTAATTAAATCAATTTATATTTAGATTTATTTTAATTTTATTTATATATTAATTAACTTAGAATTTAGGATTTTTAATTAATCTCTTTTCATACTAGTTAATTAAATTAAAATCTTTTCAAAGAAACCCTAAAACTTGTTTTTTAATTAGTCCATTTTCTTTTCTTAGTTAATTTAAAATAAATTAATCATTTTCTTCTTAGTTTAATTGGGTTAGAAAACCTTTTTCATAAAAACTTAAACAAAAAAACAATTTTCTTTTTCTCTCCACATCACCTTTACATCCTTGTACATTATTTTATATCTTTGTGCATTATCTCACATTTTTGTACATTATTTATTCAATGTCAATATGGTTGTAATAGTAAAATTAGAGTTTATTTGTTTTCATCTCCCCATTTGTAAATTTGTACCCCCATCCCCAAATGATGTAATAGCATAGAGTTTTACATTTACGTAATTTATCGCTTATAAACATAAATTCTAGTAATTAGGGTTTGTATGACAAGATAAAATCAACAAGTAGAAAACCCTAATCCAAAGACAAAGAGCATGAAAATAAACACTTTTCACACTCGCACCTCTAGGGTTAACCCACACTTGTTGCCTTAGAATAAATAGTCATGCCCTCGAACATGGGATACTTTAGCAATGACCCTCGAATACAAGATCCTAGTCCCTCGATGACCCTTCCAATATTGCCTTCGATAAACGATCTTAGACCCTTACAAAAATTGCTAAGGTATCCTACAATGTTGTTTTCTATGACTATACAATGACCCACGCTCGTCCCTACACATCCAATGATAGGGATTCTTATCAATTAATGGTAAGACAAAAATATCTAAAGGAGGAGGAAAAGAACTAAGACTTTTGAGTAGATAGAACGTTCATAGTTTCTTTCTCACAATCATCTTCTAGACATCTTTCAAAACACACCAACACTTTTAAATGAAATATTTTTCAAAGTCAACACCTTGTATGCATTCTTATAGAGACGAGAATCATTACAAAGTTCGCCTAAACGAAGTCACTTTCAAAAATACTTTCAAAACCATCACAAACACATTTTCAAACAAAGCATTTCAAAGTGAGCTAGCAACTAAGAGCCCGTAGATAACTACAGAGGAAAAGGGTGCTAACACTTTCCCTTTTCATAACCTATCCCTCGAACTCAAGAAAATTCTCAAAAGGTCTTTCCTGTTCTTTTCACCTTTTCCTTTATTGGATAAAAGAAAAGTTGGTGGCGACTCTTGCTATCTGCAATAATTGCGATAAAACGAAAACACAATCAGTTCTCCCACCGTATTACAGCTTCCTTGCAGAATATCTTTTATGTTTCTGAATCAGCTTCATCTTCCAAGGGAATTACTTCACTTGATGTTCCAACATGAGCCATCAGTGCCACGTTAGCATCTTCTCCCTCTGAGTCATAGTCAGAAGAGTCTGAATCATCCCATGTTGTCATTAGCCCTTTCTTTTTGCCTTTGAGAGCTTTCTTCTTTGGTATGTCCTTTAGAAGCTTAGGACAATAATTCTTGTAGTGTCATGGCTCATTGCACTCATAACAAGTTACTTCATTACCACTAGACTTCCTTTGACCATAAGTTGATTCGAAGCAACCTCCAGTCCTTCTTGAACTTCTGAACATGTTACTTGATTTTTCTTCCAAATACAGTTGTTCCTTCCGAATAGCAGAGACAACTCATCTTCTTTATCATCATTGAGATATTCTTCTGAATCCTCTATCTCTTATGCTTGAAGAGATTTGGACTTCTCATATTTATTGATGGCCTTGAGCATAATAGATTTTTATTCTTCCACAGTTCATCTTGTTCTAGCTTAATCTCATGACTTCTTAAAGAACTATCAGTTCTTCTAGTGAAGTGTTGTTCAGATCCTTTGCAAGCTTGAGTGTAGCTACCATAGACCTCCATTTTGATGGCAAGCTTCTGCTAATCTTCTTCACATGATCTTCTGTTGAATAGATTTTGTTTAGTACTCATATTCCTGCTACCAAGGTTTGAAATCTTGAGAACATGACTTCAACACTTTCATCATCCTCCATTTTGAAGGCTTCATATTTCTGAATCTAGGTCATCGCCTTGGTTTACTTGACTTGATTGTTTCCTTCATGAGTCATTTTAATAGAGTCAAATATAGACTTAGCAGAGTCTCTATTTGTGATTTTCACATACTCGGTATAAGAAATCTCATTTAGCAAGATGGTTCTTTCTTTATGATGATTCTTATAATATTTCTTTTGCTGATTAGTCATAGCTATCCTAGCTATCTCTTTTACAGTAGCATCTATGGGAGGTATGTAGCCATCGACTACCATATCCCCAAAGATCAACATCATGACCTAGAAAGAAGATTTCTAGTCTATCTTTCCAGTATTCAAACTTTTCACCATCAAAGATGGGAGGTTTTTACATTGTATCTTTTATCGTTTGAATCTGAAGCAGCGTTAGTTGTTGTGGGTTCAACCATTGTGTTTCTTCAAAGAAAAACTCGTCTAGATATTTATCTGACACATTTAAGTGTTTGATAACTATCAATACCAGGACCGGAGCTCTGATAACAATTGAAGGTGTGAGAAACACAAGAAAGGGGGGTTGGAATTGGGTTTCACCAAATATAATTTTAAATCTTTTTGTTGATGAAAGACCAAGTTAACTTAGAATATAAAAATAAATGAACACAATTATATTTATCCTGGTTCACTGTTAACTAAGTTACTCCAGCCCTTCCCTCAAGGTGATTTTCCTTCAACAAGGACTTAATCCACTATAACCAAACTAATTACAAACAACCCACAATAAGTCAGATCAACCTTATTGGCACCCCCAATAAGTCCGTCGATCCTTATTGCAAATCCACTCAAGCCGCATCAGGAGTCTTTTTGAGATAAGACCTTCACTCGGTCACTAAAAGAATCCATCAACAACGGTTGAGTACTTTCAGTGTATTACAATTTGCTTCTTTTAAGCAGATTACACAAATATTTCAATATAAAGAAAAACACCCAAGTGTTTTACAGCAAGATATGAGCAATAACTCCTTGCCTATTTACAAAACTATACACATAAGATTTCTCTAAAGAGTTGCAGAATGCTTTGGTGCAGTTTTGCTTGAGCTTGATTTAATCCGATAGATTTTTGTGATGTTGATTCTTACATTTCCTTAACTTCCAAGTCTCCCTTTTATAGCTTGTACAAGAGCTCCGTTGAAGGGGTAGAAAGGTAATTGTAAATCCAGTTTTTTGTTCCCAACGATCATAATGAGATAAGTACACAATATAGTATGAAATGAATGTCCTTACGCCACCCTAGAGGGTAGAGGTCACAAACACTTTTTGTACCTTTTGTACACTATCACACACTAACCATTTTGAACTTCTTCTATTCTTCAGAGGCTTCAGATAATTTGAATGTTTGAATATTCTTTTAGAAGAATCACTCTTAAGTCTTAGAACCTAAGTCTTAGAGTCTTCATAACTTTTCACATCAGAACCTTGTCTTCAGAGTCTTCAACACTTGGTCGTAAGAACTTGCTTTTCTTTAGATTATCAAAACTTGTTCAACAGAACATCGTCTTCATAATCTTCAGAACTTGGAACACACAGAAGGAAAGCTTTAGAAGGCCTCCAAAGCTTAACCACCAAGTCACGATCACAACCACTTGTACTAACTTTCCTAAGATCCTTTGCATAAGATAAATTCTAGAATTTTAACTTCAACTGTAACACGTAACCACATATTTTCTTCCAGTAGTGTTTATCTTCATAACCTGATGATGTCACATGCCTTATACCAGAGTTAGAATATTACGTCAGCAGCTACACACTAGAACGAAATCATTAGAATATATAATTGTTCTTTATGATACCATGTAAAGTTATCATCAAAATCTTAAGGCTAAATGTAGAAACACTTCTTGTTCTTACACACACTTCCATTACAAATCGTAGCCAAGACTCTTCACCAAGAACAATACTTGGATTTAATTAAAAGCTTCATCCAAGAATAATACTCAACTTATTGCCTAAAGGCTTTTGAGTGAGAACATAATGCCGACCACAAGTATCAAAAGATACAAGGTTGACTTACACCATACAATACACAAGAGACTCTCAAAACCTAAGACTATTTTTTCTTCCCCTAATTTTACAATTGTTAAAAGAACTTAAAATACATTAGGTTAAGATTTCCCTTTAAATAAAACTCTGCAGTCCATGGGCTTCGATATTCTGAGCCCAGAAGTTTCTTGATCCAAAAGCTTAGTGATGCATCAATTGTGTAGAAAATCTCCTTCAATCTTGGAATAACCAATATAAAGTTTCCTAAATTGTCTCAAGGCCCAATTTAGTAACTTTTGCACAACTGGAGATACAAATCTTGTTCCAAAACAAATCTTATTGACCTGCAAAATTTACTGAAACATATCCAAAAGAAATATTCCAAAATCAAATCAAATATGCCAAGATTTAAAACAACATTGTCTGATGTACTACAGTACTAGATCAAGATGTCATGCCATCTACCTTCGACATCTGACTGAAAAACACATAATAGTAAAACTATTATGACAATTGATAAAGATGTTGCAACATCTTAATCAACATCATTAGAACAATGTTTTAGCAAAATTATGCCAACACAAAAACCATAGAACTAACACTAATAGTGTTGATTGTTCACAAATACAACAAAGTGGAATATGTTATAATCCAAATTCACTTCAAAATTATGCTTCTTTTGCTTTCAATAGCTACTGTGTAAAGAGTCCTGCTCCAACTAGTTGTGACTTTGGAGGGATTGCTACCATTGTTACCACCAATCCTAGTAAGATCTTTGTAGTTTCATATACCAATTTTATGCTTCATAAAGTTTTATGAATTTTTCCGATGAACTCTGTTTTGAATTGTGAATAGGTTATGGTACTTGCATCTTTTCATCATCTTCAGGAGGAGGAGCTGGATCATCCGGGTAAGTGAAAACTGTGTAGAGAAAGCTTTCCTTACTGATAGATTTTTCTGAAACCTTCAAGCCTGTAATATAGTCACTGATACCTTTGGAAAAAATGGTGTATCAATATAAGGTGTTTGAAAGGTGTCAGTAGTGTTTTCGATATTGGTGTTTCATAAATAGAATATTGGTTTATTATCACTTAATTAGTTCTTCCTATTTGTGCACTTAGCTTATAACATCGATAGATATGGAACAAAGGAGAACTACTAGTACTAACCAAGTTCTTTATTCACATATTTTACAGCTCTGGTTCTAACTCATCTTCAATAGGTTTTGGTGGGCCTTCAACCTCTCAAGATTCATCTCATTCAACTGGTCTGAGGCCTTTGCAAAGTTTCATGATTCTATATAACTCGTCCATATTAGTTTCAATACAAAAAATTACAATATCTGTAATCAGTATTCAGGGCAAGAAAAATTTCATATTTAAAATCTTAATATTATGATTTTCATAGTACTTTAATTTTTATGAGAAACACGAATAATGTACCCGGATTTATGATGAAATTGATTTCTTGATTCAAATTCTTCATGAAAATACTATTTTATTTTGTTTGAGAGAAAATCTAAAAAATGAGAAAATTTGTTGTTGTTTTTTTTAATGATGTCTATTTTATAAATGATTAAATATGTTTTTGCTCTCTATAAATTATTAAATTTTATTTTTAATACCTATAAAAAAATATGACATGTTTTCGTGCTTACCAAATTATTATGCACGTAATTTTAGTTCGTGTTGTTAAATCAATATATATTTTTGAATGATTATTTTATAGACATGTTTAGAACGTTATAAAAAGTTCCTAAAAAAAACTAAAAAATTTGATTTCTAAATCGAGATTTTCATTACTTTTATCAATATCTTTTAAAATTTAAAAAATTCATATTTAATTCTTCTCATTTTAAAAAACTCTAAAATTTAGTTAAGAAATATTTTATAGTATTCTAAATACGTATGAAAAAATTATTAAGAAAATTTAAAAGTTTAAGGATAATTAAACAATTTTAAAAATTTTAAAAAATAGTAGGGACTAAAACTGCATGAATAAAAAAAATTTAGAGATCAAAATTTTTCATTTTTTTAATAAAAATTAAAACTGAAATTTGAGATAATTATAGAAACTAAAAATATATTTAACTCTTTTATAAATATTTTACTTCAATAGTCACATTTCATCCCAACAATCATGTTTCAATAGCCATGAAAAGAGAGAAAAGATATTCAAATTTTATTTTGAATTTCAAAATAAAATATTTCATTGACTTAATTACCTAAGATTTCTTTTATTTAAAACCAAATTTTATTTGCATGAGTCACATTTGATTGATGGATTAATAGTCCAACAGATGCTCTTAAGACATATGAGGAAATGATAATAATAAGTACCATTCCATATGCAATTGATTTATGTAGCATAATGTATGGAATGGTTTGGTCTATGATGTGAATGTTGTTAGCAGATTTATGGTTGATCTAGGACCATTGTGTTGGTATATACTCAAGTGGATCTTTGAGATACTTGGATGGTTCTCTATCAATAGTTTGAAATTCAAAATAGATCATCATGACAAGAAACCAATCATGGGATATAGTGACTCAGATTATGCCAAGGATACCAGAAAATAACTCTCTTGTCAATGTAATATCATTTTCATATTGAATCAAATTAACCATGCACAATATATTTTGACACAATCAATTTGTGAACTAAATATATATTCACATTTTAAAATCATTGAATCTAGTATCAATAAATATTTTTATATACAAACAAAATGAGAGTTTCTATGATCCTATTATAATCTAATTATGAAAGAAAAGTCCAGATTGATATGGAATACTAGTATTTTTCAACCATTGATCTGCTTGAATAAACTCATCAGCTGTAAACTTCATCATTTCACTTTTCCGATTCTGAGAAACATCTCTATAACTCTCCCAATGTACCCTCTTACCAGTTCTTGCACCAATTCCTCTATTATTATACTCAATAAAATTTGCTGTACCAACTCCATAGTTATTACTCCATTTACACCAACCTCCCGGGCTTATCACATTGCCAAGAAACGATTCCATTACGACTGTTCTCGAATGTTCATTACACGGTATTCCCAAACACGTCGAGCCAACAAGACTATTATTATTATTATCATCGGTTTCGCATTCTTCTGCTTCAATGGTGCAGTTTTGCATCACAAAACCAGTACTTTCATGTTTGTCTACTCTTGATTGAAAACTCACCGCTTTTTTCCTTGGAACAACAGAAGAATTTTGACGCTTCACTATGATTCGTGAGTTTTGAATTATAGTCGCTGAGTCTCCTTTGATAATGTCTACACTTCCACGAATTTCGCAGTTTCCATAGAATTGGCGATGCGCCACCGCGTATAAGCTTCCTTCGTTGCCATCAATTTTGCAGTTGAAGAATGCTGCATGATCACAAAACACAACAAGTGCAGGTGCACCTGCTATATTAGCAGGTGCACTGAATCCCATATCTTTGCAAATGAATCCTTTCCCTTTCACCACTGCATCTCACATAACTCAAAATCAAGATTAAACACTTCAAAAAATTCATATAGTTTAAATTAAGAGGTCAAAGGTAACGAACTGATAATGTAAAATAATTTTACATTGTCATCCAACAGAGATTCATCAATCAGTCACGTCACACAAATTTTTTAAAAGTAACAGAATGACTTGGTATAATATATGCTTGTGATTGATTGATCATCCTCTTTTCTCTTAAATTAATGTTAAAAGAGGTTAAGTTAATTAATTACCAAAAGTAGCAGAACGAAATGGAGTTGTAACAATCCTCGAGCCTTGTGTATTGATTCCGGTGACAATGGTTTTCCTAGGCCCATCGCCATACATGAAAACATATTCTAAATTCTTAGGTATCACAACTCTCTCTTCATACACGCCTTTCATCACATAAATAACACATGAAGATTCTATATTCCTTGCACAAGCATTGAGTGATTCGGTTATTGTTGTAAAATGGCCGCGGCCTTCTTGAGCAACGATTAGTCTTTTCTTCTCATGATCAACTTCCATAGCTTCATGGTTCGCTCCCGTGAACATTTTCTCAAACCCTTCGTCCAAAACCGGCTTCTCGAAGAAAGTATCAACAATTGTTAATGTAATCCTTGAAAGAAGAATAGGTAACTTCAAAGAATATCCTAAAATATCAAAATTATTTGTTCTCATCAACTCGTTAGAACAAGTTTGTTGATACGAAATGATCGCGCTTAGGCTATTGATCATTTCTTTTGATTCCCTAGACAAATTCGCGGTAAAGTTCAAATTTTCAAGCTCATCTTTTCCCATATTCAACAACTCCAAACAATCTCTATATGATTTCTTCTGCAAAGAAGTTAAGCATTTTTCAGAATCAGGTTTTGGTATATTAACTATCATTAATTCTTCAAGAGTTGCATTAATCGCAGCATTAATGTAATCCAAAGGGGAAGCTCTTTCGCCTATATTTTTTAAGACATGAAGACAAGTTTCTGGTGATTCTGTTTTAGCACAGATAAAGTTAATGCTCTTAAAATTTGTTTCTTCTTTGGTGCCACCACCTAGGTTGGCAAAAACAGCAATAGTAACCAATGCAAGAAGTAACATGGAGACACCTATCATTACTATGTTGGTAGCCAATTCCTCTTCTTCTTTTGAATCATCATCCATTTTGCTGATTTAATTTTATGATAGTTAACAATGCATGTATGTATATTTATCACTTTTTGTTCTATGACAGTATCAATATGATTGATCTTGCAACTATTTGGTGAATGATGTTGGTGATTATGTGTTTGTTGACATTATCATATAGAATTTGGTGGTCTTCGCTAGCTACATAGCATAACAACTATTTTTAGGAATAAACAAGTATTATCTTAGCTGGAATTTTTCTTTAATACTTATGGAATTTTACATTGATTCAAAAATGATTTTTAAATAACTGAATTATTTGTCAATAAAGGTGTATAAAACATCTAACAAACTTCATGTGTTGTAATGGGTTGCTATGTTGTCAATTTTTAGGATATGGAGATGGCCTTTTCCGAATTCACATCCTAGTGCTAAACATAGACACGCTAAAAAAAAATATCTGTGCAACTATTCAAGGGCCATTATCCCAGTCCTCAAATATAACAATAGTTTTTATTTGGGTCATATTATCTTTTTTATGAATCACTATTATTAAAAATATGTATTTTATTTTAATTAACAATTATTTTTAATTAAGACACAATTATTTTATAATTAAATAATTTATTTATATATATATTTAAATAAAATCTATATCGTATTTTTTTTTTTCACCGAACATTGTCAATACAATATTTTTTTATCACATCTTTATTTTTAAATATTTTTTTTCTTCTATCTTTCAGTTTTTTTTCTGTTTTTTTAATAATTATTTAATATAATGAAATTTATATGAATATTGTTCATTTTAACAATAAGGAAATCATTTTAAATTTTATATTTATATCTAAAACTCTTCCTTTACATTTGTTTAAGTTTGATTTTTTTTATGTTTATTTAATATTTTATATTTATGTCTTTTTTTATATATAATTATTTAATACAGTTAAATTTCTATAATTATTATTTATTTCAAATATAATTATATTATATTTACTGTAATTAAATATATTTAATTATATTTATGTCTTTTTCTTTATATGATTAAACTAATAATTTACATTTTGATTATGCAAATTGCTCATGATTCCTTTTATTTATATTACACATATCGTTCAAAAAATATTACACAAAAAATTCACTCGTACTCTGGCACAGGACACAGGTCTCTGACTAGTTATGACTATGTAAACTTCATATACTCAACCACTTTTCACAATATCATTACCGTGATGCATTGAAAATTTTAGATTGCAAGTAATGAAATGGTAAGACCATTAGTGGAGAAAACTGGTAATAACAATGTTTTGATTACAAATCAGATCAAACAAATTGATCGATGTTTTAGTTCAGAGTACATTTAAAAAGATAATCTAATACCAAAATAAAAGCGAAAATAAAGAACATTAAACAGCTTATATAAGTACAAAGCAAATTTAAATGCGGATTATACACGCAGTTACCAACATTAAAAGGTAATAGAAAGCAGAAAGACCAGAGATCGATTTGCGACTGAATCACCGAATTCAGCATATTGAGCCAGACATCTAAAAGCCAATTCCAGACAAATAATTCAACATCATATACACACTATTTATCCGTCTTTGAATCATGCTGAAAACTGTATAGATGTGATTTCTCATAATCAAATTCCATCATAATAAACATACCTTGTGTTCAGATAACAAATTAAGAGCTTCATGTAGGAGTTTGAGTGCAGTTCCAATTTTGTTAAAGTGCTCTTCCAGTAATTAACCTTCCTGCAACTTTGAATATTCAAAAGATTATGGATTTCCATTACACAAATGTACCCTTGAGAATCTGACTTGGAAGATCATTTCTTAAATGATAAACAAACAGCACCAATGTTGGTTACCGAGCTAGATTGAAGGTCCATATCACTTCCGGAAAAATGAATCTAGCTAATATCTCGGACATATATCAAATATACCACTAAAAGGAACCAAGTAACTCAGTTCAATAAGGAAATCTCCTAGCAATATTCGTAGGAAGACTGAAGTTGAGCAGAAGCTTTAAGCTTTAGACACACGAACAAAAAGAAATTCCAAGATAGATCCACTGTGATATATTGCAGGACATAGTAGAAACCTCAGCAACCACACCACCACTGATATATTGCAGGACATAGTAGAAACCTCAGCAACCACACCAAACTGTAGTATTTGGTATTTTCGGGTATCATCAAAATGCTGTTTTAATATTTATGTTTTTACTTATCTCCCAAGACGATCTGAAGGCTTTGACTAACAAAAAAAAAATACTAATGATACTTGAATACTAGAGTTCAACATTACTACCTATGGTTTGATTCATACGAGAAAAACAAGAATTATTCAAGTAATTACTGATCCAAATGGTTCGGGATATATTCAATTACTTTTATAAGTTTTCTCTGGCTGCCTTTCAAGATTCTATTACCATAATCAGGGTGCAGTTATGCACCAGCGGTGACCCCTGCTGAAACGAGATTTGACTCAGGGAGAGTAAGGATGAGTGGTTGCCAGCCAGACTGCTGATGAACTATCCATTTTTTATGGAGAATCAACATATTCAATATCTGAAGGACGTTGCCCAAAGCAAGATCTTTAAAGCACATGTTCTTTATCACCATACCTGCTTCATACCTAGATAAAAAGAATAGATTCATTTCAACACTGACAACTTTTAGAAAATGAATAGTTTATTTGTCAATTTATTTATTCTAAAACATAAATATTCTTACTTGCACTGTGTACCCATTATTGCTGATCTTCCAGCAGGGGTTGTTAAAAAAATTTGAATTTCATCCCAAATTTCTTTTGGGTGCTGTTTAGGATTTCCACCTAAAGGATTTACACATTTCCAAAGTTTATCATTCTTACCAACATACAGCGTCAGAGCACCTAAATTCTGTTTCACCACCATCTGCTGTTCCATTGCACTCTCCAGAGCCTTCTTAACATCAGTGTTGCGATGCTTGGGATCTCCATAACGGATGCTATCAGTTATATTTTTCTCAGTTGGCATCATCTTTGCATTTTTTAGTGAGTTAAGGGCAAGTAATACAACCCCTATAAGGCCTTGTACATATTCAGAAGGTTTAGAAATTCCTGAAGATCCCCACTTACCATTAGCAGGAAGTTTATTATTATTACCCATTGCTGCCGATGATGTAGGTTGATATTCTGGACCATGTGGATAGCCTTGCGTGCTATTGCTATGCACCATATGTCCAGTTTGTTCGATTGTTGATCTTACCAGAAGTGGAGCACTACCCTTAGGATTAGGTTTCAACTCTCCACTCCGTTGCGGAACAGTTCGGGGGTTATGAGCATTATTAGGATGACCAGAAATGTTCAGATTACCAATATTTGGCAAAGGTGTATTTGATCCTGTACCAAAATTGGGGCCACTTGTCCTAGGTGGCACCGGTGTAGTTGCAAAAGTATGGGAATTTGGAGTAAATGAATTACTAGGTGCAAAAGGAGGCTGCAATGGAAAGTCGTTCGGTCTTAATGGTTGGGAATATGGATGTTGATTACCATTATTGCTCCATAACTGATCAGAATTGGCGCGGACAAAATTTGTGGCGGATCCGCTATGAGGAACGTTTGGATTATAGTTGCCAGGTCGATAATTGTTTACGTTATTACGGTTATCTTGAGGACCAACTGGGGGTGGACTCATGGCTTTGGACCCATTTGGTTGATTCGGGTTTCTCCAATTCGGTCTCCCCTGATATCTAGAATCAAATCCCCTTCCTCCATTTTGAAATTTTGAATTTCCAGCATGAACTTCAGAGTAGGGACCCCCTTGTTGTTGTGTCTGAGTGGCATTTGAAACGGGAACTTGTAAAGTTTCAGAAGATGATAGGAGGCTACTATTAGCAAGCTGTTGTGATTCTCCATTAGATAATGGAGGTCCTCCAGATAAGAGACTAGTCCAAAGCCATACGTTCTTCGCAGCTGCAACTAGGGGAGCAGATGCTTTTTGAGGTTGTGCAAGAAGAATATTATACCTTCTCATTCGCAATTGATGGAGGGCATTAGAGAAATCTCGATCACCTGAAATCAATAAATAATTTGCAGGTGCAGGGTTGTCCACTGCCCAAAACAGCATGTCGACAAGGATCTTCTTATCACTTGCATCTTTCACACCTATTATCAGACATAAAAAAAAACTTTAAACACAAAAATTTGAATGTATCCAACTTTCACGCTATCTGCAATGCAATAAATTCATAATAGAAATATAATAGTTCAGATGATTGAGTGTTCTAAACTTCTTAGTTTTTGAGTCAATTTATATGAACAAAAAATACTCAGCTGTCTCTAAATATTTACAAAAGACAACTTATTACAACAAAACTTTGGCCATGATAATGTGCAAAATAATTTAATATGTGATAAAAAATTACATAGTTAAAGAAATTAGGTAATTTCTCATTTCAAAAGCCCTTAGACATATGTTTGTAATTATTATTATGGACAAAACGTTAGGGAATGTTAAGATCCATAAAATGAAACCATCTTAGTTTAAATCTTAAGAGAATTGATAGAATGTCTTTGATAGGATTGTACACCTATGAAGCTCGATCACCTCGAACTGTCCCAAACAACACTCAACAACACAGACACGGCGACACTAATAATAATTTGAAAAAACGGCGACACTAATAATAATTTGAAAAAATAAATAAATTAAATTTAACCACAAATGTCAGTCCAATACGTTTTTTTTTCAGAAGTATCGCTGATACATAGCTTATTAACATTATGATTTGTTTTTCATTCTTATTGTGATAAAAGAATTACCAAAAATGGTAAGATCTATATATGGGCCATTTTTAAATTAAGGTCCATACTAGATTAACCCTAAATTATAGATGATGCTTGAATAGTAAATACAATTTTAATAAAACATTATGCATGATGATATGTATGCCACTTATTTATTTAATTGTCAATTATGTATGTTTGATACATGTATATGATAAAATGTATTATGTGATAAATGAAACGGTATGAATAATTGTGATTGTCTGTCGTTTCTGTTGAACGTTCGGATGTATTTGCCGTGTGGCTTGATATGATTGTGATAATTTGCATATATGCTTGAATCGAAATAGACCTATGGTTAGGTGGTAAACCAAATACGATTGATAACTACCGTTGCGATGTGTTTGTGTGGGCCAAATATAAAAAAGGCGTTTCCACCAACCGTTAAATAGCATTGGCGTTCTCGGTATGTCGTAAACACCTGAGCTACCATTGCGATGATGCAAGTGAGGGTCTTTAAGGCGTTTCCCACTTAGATTACTCATCGGCGTGCTTGGTATGGTGAAGTAGTGATACCACATAGGAGGTAGTGATACCACATAGGATACACTTCTCGGTCAACTCACCTCTAGTGGTGTCATGTAGGCAATGCCACTAGGCTTTCGCCCGGTGGGCTTGTGCGGTCGTGATGGCATATTTGCACTAGCGGTTAACACATTTGCGTTTGGATGATTGACGGAGTAGTGATGCCACATAGGCAATTTCATCGTCACCGATGGGATAGTGTAGCCAAGTAGACGTCAAAGCATCTGGATACTCATCTGAATTCATCATGCGGTGTGAGTGTGCAAATCTCTTGACGAATAGGTACAAGGAATAACTCATCGAGGGTGTTGTATAGTAGCCTAAATAGGTAAGTAACATGGACACGGGGGTACGGGTCTGCATATTGTTGTGGCCTTGTGTTGGTTGTGTTTCTTGCTACCTGATTGGATAATTATGGGACTCCTAATGGTGGTGTTATCTCTATTGTGTACTTGCACTCGGCCGCGAGGAAACCCCCGGATTTGCGGTGAATTCATTTTATTTGCATGCATCTTGTAGAACGGGTGAACGGGGAACTCAATGAGCTCAGCTCAATCCTCTTAATTAGTAAGTAATCATGAAAATTCATAAATAGTCAATAAATTCCAATCACAAAGAGTGTCTTATTTTATTTGACTATGCAGTTAAAGAAATAAATCACAAAATTGGAAAACACAGTGTTCATAACAAAATTCCAATTTCAGCTTATGCTAAAATTGCTTATATATATAGTTACCAGCAGGAACATGATTGAGGGAAATTCCGGTGCTGGAGAGAGCATGCTGTACAGACGCAGGAATTCTAGTCGTATCGCCGTAGGAAGAGATCGAAACGGGACCACAGAAGTTCATCCGAACAAGCGCTGAACTGATATTCTGAGCGATTTGGTGAGGATCGAAACCCTTAGGAACGTGACAGTTTTCTATATCCCACCACACAGATATCTTCGCCGTGGTGTATTGAACCTCCGAATTCGGTGCTGCTGCTCCAACTCCGCCCATGTTATCTGAATCTGAATCCGATGATCTCCGATCTGGATTTAAGAACTTCAATTTCGAAGATCAACGATTCGTTCTACTTTCTACTAGATGTAACTGTACAAAGCTTGATTTATATTGTTTTATACAGTGAGTTTGTTTTCATGTGATGATGGGAGAAGCTGATGCGTCAGAGCATACTATGTAGTATAAGAAATGATAAGGCGGAGAGAGAGAGAGAGAGAGAGAGAGGGTTTTGTATTGCTAAATACGCTGGTTGAGTTGAAGAGAAGATTCTAGATTATGCTATCTTCAATTTGGTGGATGGAAGAGATAGCCCAAGATATTACTATGCTTTGACTCATTTACCCTTTTTCAATTTCTGTCGTGTGCACACCCAATCATCTATTTTGTAAAATTAATTGCATACAATAATTAGAACAGTACATTTATAAAGCTATTTATTTACATCATTATTATTGGTTAATCAAATTTACATATTTAAAATTGAATTAAGCATGAACTTTTTTTTGAGCAAGACTTAAGCATGAACTTTGTCTTTGGGTGGGTGTGGAAAATTTGCCCCTTTCGTATTGTATGGGTTGAGATTGAGATGAGTGGTTCTGAAAATTCTTTGTTGATGGCTTGGGTCATGGTCGTGGACTAGTGCGTGGGGCTTGGGGAAGGTTTGATTCCTTTCCTTTGTTTCATTTCAGTCACTCCCCTATTTTTTTACTATATTTTGGAATTATTGTGCTTTTGTCTCATTACACGGCACTTTCTCACTAATTTCCTATAAAATTTTACTATTTTATTAATTATTTATGTTTTGTTACTCATCTATGGAATTTTGTATCACTTGGGTTATTCCTGCTTGGCAATGGTAATGAACTAAATCATTTCGAAAATAATTTAAATATTTATTCGAAAATTAAATCGTTGAATTTGATTTTTTGGATATTCTTTCTATAATGATTTTTAAGTAAATTTGACTTTTTTTTGTTACATTTGACAATTAATGTATCTAGTATATATATAGACTAGATATATTAATTATCAAATATACCAAAAAAGTCAATTTTGCTTATAAATCGTTACGGGTGGAGTATGAACTAAAAATTAAGTTCGTTAACTAAATGAGTTGAACTTGAACTATACATAGTTTGACTCGTTCCCTCGAATATGGGCGTTTTAGCAAAGACCTTCGATAAAAGATCATAGTCCCTCGATGTCCCTTGATGTTGCCTTCGGTAAACAATCTAGTTCCTAACGAAATTGCTAAAATGTCTCATAGGTTGCCTTCTATGACTATACAATTGACCCACGCCCATCCCTTCACATCCAACGACGGGGCTTCTTATCAATCAATGGTAAGATAGCAACATCTAAAGGAGAAGGGAAAAAACAAAGATCTTTTGAGTAGGTAGGACGCTTCTAGTTGTTTGTTCGCTCACAACTAAAAAAATATTTGCACACCAACACTTTCAATTGAAACATTTTCAAAAGTCAAAACACTTTGTACGCATTCTTATAGAGACGAGAATCATTACAAAGGCGCTTTTTAAAATCACTTTCAAAACATCTTCCACAAACATCTCTTTGAACTATTTTCAAAACAAACACTTTGTACGCATTCTTATAGAGACGAGAATCATTACAAAGACGTTTTCAAAATATTTTCAAACCAACACCACAAGCACATTATCAAAAAAAAAAGCAAGTTGATCTAGCAAGCAACTAAGATCCCGTAGATAACTACGAATGAAAAGGGTGCTAACACCTTCCCTTTTCATAACCTACCCCCGAACTCAAGAAATAATATCTAAAGGTCTTTCATGTTCTTTTCAACCTTTCTTTTGTTGGATAAAAGAAAATTCGGTGGCGACTCTTACTATCTGCAACAATTACGATCAAACACAAAACACCCAAGTCAGTTCTCCCATCGTATCATAGCCTAATAAGCCAAGGGGTGTTGGTTTCAAAAGTGGAAGTGGAAATAAAAAGCAGGGGTGTGTTTAGGGATTGGGCCTGGCCCAAAGCGACAAGTGATGGGGAAGAGGTCCGCTTGGACCTTATACGGACAAGAGTATTGTAATAGGGTGAGCGTGCCCTTTTAAACTGTTAGGTAGTGATCACACGGATATGATTAAGGGAATATGGTAATACGCGTGGAGTGACAAGCATCAAATTATGGGACATAATATATTTTAATTTTTATAAAATAAATTTATTTCATTCTTTATGTTATCTTCTCTCTCCATTTCTCTGCTTCAATCGTTCTCTTTTCTTACTCCCAACAAAATCCTAAATTATCTTAAGCGGCGATGGTGCCTGACCCCCTCTTTTCCTCTCTGATACCACTACAACAACATATAACCCAACAATAGTCCAAACCTCCACACTTACAGAAAAACGCAACAAGAATGAGACGTAAAGCTAAGTGTTATTGTGAATCGTTGTGAACCTTCTTGTATTCTCCTTGGTTTTTCCGATTTGCCTGGTTTTGATCTGCTCTTCTTGTCTCGTTTTAGGTGCGGCACCATGGAGATGATGGTGAAAGTGGCATGGTGAAGATGAAGGCAGTGGCGGCACAACGAATGGATCTAGGGTTTCAGATATTGAAACCCTAGTCTACACGGGGTGATGTATGAAGCTCACGGCGGCGAGGCCTTCTTTCAACTTTCTTTTCTGTAAAGAATCTCCTCCATGATATTTTTTCAATTTTTTCTCTCTATTAAGAATTTTCTTATGTCAATTTTGTACCCTCTTCCCTTTGGATTTATGTTTTTTATAGTACTAGAGGATTAGGTATATTAGGAACAATTTAAATGTTCATCGTTACTCTTCGATTGATTTGGATAATTATGGAAATTTTCTGATTTTGCTGTAATTTTTGTATTGACTCGATTGTAATTGTTTTGATAAGTTTCTGCTTTAGTTTGATCTTGTTTCTATTTTAGTATTAGATTATGTTTCCGTATTATTCCGATTTAGTTCTGTATTTGGTTTGTAAAGTTTTTATTTTGTATCAATTTTTAATTGTCTGCGTTTTATGAACTTGATGCAAAGAGATTTGATTTGGTTTTCTCTTGTAAAACATGCGCTATTTTCCTTAATGATACGAACAGTAAATGTTATGAATAAAGCAATGTGTTTTTCTTTTAATCCAAACAGTGCTTGTTTGTTAGTTTTGGGCTAAACATTTTTTTTGATTTGGGCCTGTAACGGATCCTATGGTGGCCTCCTTAACCCATACAATAATTATTTAATTTTTATATAAATAGTATTATGTAACATTTAATAAAAATAATTTTAATAAAACAAAATGCATTTTGGAATAACGACTTGAAATAGGCCACATGTTTACTATTGGGACCCTCAACTCAAAAAAACAAAACCTCTCCTCCTTTCTTATGCGTAAATAGGCCTATTGATTTAATTATATTGGGCCTTTAAACAAAATAAATTGCTTATACACCCTCAAATTTATCTAAAACCTAAATGGGCCATAATATTGGGCTTTAAACGAAGCAATTTATTTTATACCCCTTTCAACCTAAATGGGCCATTACGTTTTAGAAATGGCCCAATATTTCTTCAATAGCATGCACCTCTCTCTCTCTATGAAAATGCACCTTTCTCGAAAAAAGAATGAAACCTTAATGTGTCATCAGATATTGATGGTCCATTTCTAGATCAATACACCTTTTCCTGTTTTAAACCCCCATAAAAATAAGACCTACATAATCTGATTTATTTAATTATAAACCTAAATATAATATAATGGTAGGGCAAATTCGGGGTATGACAAAGGGCCATAGGTCCGCGGCCATGGCCACAGCTTCAAAAACTACATTGTTTGCTCTTTTCTTCCATTCTTCTAATCTTCTTTGTTTCTTCACCATTTCTCGTTCTTTTTTCGCATGTGAGCTCTGGGTTAGAATGTTCCTGAAATAGAATAGCAATACCAGCATAACAAGACATAAACAAATGAAAAACAATATAAAATTTCACGTGAATCAAGTTGAATATATGATATAATTTCACGTTATCATAAGTCCTTCAAAAATGACATTCTAGTAGTTCAAATATATGTTGATATTATATTTGGTTATGCTAATTCCACTTTGTGCGAGGAGTTTTCTAAGTCTATGCAGGATCCATATAAATCAAGAACCATAAGAGACCTTCATTCATCAGAGCAAGTATACCAAGGAACTTCTGAAGAAGTTTAACGTGTCTGAATGCAATATTGTCAAGACTCCAATGCATCCTACTTGCATTCTGCAGAAGGACGAGGTAAGTGGTAAGGTTGACCAGAAGCTATACAGAGGTATGATAGGCTCTCTATTATATTTAACTTCTTTTAGACCTGATATCATGTTCAATGTATGCTTGTGTGCTCGATTCCAATCAGATCCTAGAGAATCTCACTTGATTGTTGTCAAAAGGATTTTCAAGTATCTGAAAGGTACTACTAACTTTGGTCTGTGTTATAGAAAATCCAGTGAATACAAGTTTATAGGTTATTGTGATGCTGATTATGCTAGTGATAAACTTGAGATAAAAGTTACTTCTTAGAGATGTCAATTTCTGGGAGAGAACTTGATCTCATGGTCCAGCAAGAGGCAACCTACAATAGTGCTCTCCACTACAAAACCCAAATACATCTCTGCTTCTGGATGTAGTACACAGATTCTCTGGATGAAGATTCAGCTGAAAGACTATCAAATATTTGAAAGTAACATTCTTATCTTCCGTGATAATACTTCTGTTATTTGTTTATCCAAGAATCCTATTTTACACTCTATGGCCAAACATATTGAGATAAAACATCATTTTATCAGAGACTATGTTCAAAAGGGAATCTTATATTTAAAATTAGTAGATACATACCATCAATGGGTTTATATCTTTACAAAACCCCTTGTTGAGGATATACTTGTTTTCATTTTGAAACATTTAAAAAGGGTTTCTTTCCCAGAATGAAAAAGATATTATCTCAAAATGCGCACCTCAGAATG